AATCCCGTGGCCTTTAGGGAACAGGAAACTCTTTCCTTTCTACATTTTGTCACATTTCTTTTCAACTTTTTCTCCACATTGCCCCATACTTTTTTTTGCCCTTCTGCCACCAACATTCCAAACTTCTCATTTTGTCACATTTCTTTTCAATTTTTTCTCCAAATTGTCTCATATTTTTCTTTTTGCACTTTCCCACCAACATTCCAAACTTCTCATAATAATATTTTTTTTTTGCATTTCTGCCACCAACATTCCAAACTTCTCATTTTGTCACATTTTTTTCAACATTTTCTCTAAATTGCCCAATACTTTTCTTTTTGCACTTTGCCACCAACATTCCAAACTTCTCATAATAACAATAGTTTTCTTTTTCCGTCTTTATTTTTTGGGCTAATACAATTAGTTTACTCGACTTAATATCTAAAGCCCATTAACCCTAGAGGTGCACAAAAAAACCAGTTCAAAATCCGAACCGGTCAAAGAACCGGTAAACCGGTTCACGATGAACCGGTCCACGATGAACCAAACCGGTTTAGGAACCGAATTGCTGGTTTACACCAGTTTGAGATTTTAGTGATTGAAACCGGTTTAGTATCCATGAACAGGTATAGAACCGATCGAACCGGTTTAGAACCGATTGAACCGGTGTAGATAGGTTCGACTATTTTTATGAATGAACCGGTTTAGAAACGAATCGATTTACGGGTGAACCGGTTTTGACTTCGTTGACCTGAACTGAACCGGTTCGAAAAAAAAACTGGTTTCTACATCTCTAATTCACCCCATGCAGAGCATAGTTTTCTTTTTCCGTCTTTATTTTTTGGGCTAATACAATTACTTTACTCGACTTAATATCTAAAGCACATTCATCCCATGCGGAGCATGAACTTCTCCTAGTTAGATTAAAAAACAAACGATTGATGATTGATATGTGCATATTTGGCTATATATTTAGTATAGATTTTTGTTATTTATTGGTTAATTTATTGCAATTTATGGACAAAAGATACTTAATTGTGTTTAAATTGTATTTTCAGTCCGAAAGATATGCTCGGAAGCAAAAGGAAGCAGGAGATGCGATCGGAAGCTCGGAAACTGAAGAAAGAAGGAAAAGAGCCAAATCCTGAAGGACTCGGCGAGTCTGGACGTTTACTCGACGAGTACCAACGAATGTTCACGAAGCAAAACACAAAGTCCTTGCCGTACACGGACTCTATAGAGGGGACTCAACGAGTCGGTTACCTACTCGACGAGTAGACTCTGTTTTCTGAAAACTATAAACAGAAGTCACATTCCCGAATTAAGGCTCTCTGGAATTTTTGGGAGAATTACTTGACGACCAAGAAGGCATCTGGAGTTTTGGAAATCGTGAGAGAAATCCTAATCTTCAAATCTAAGGAGATTCAAGGCAACATAAGTTTACTTTTCACTTTATTCTTGAATTAAACTATGGTTGAATTGCTAGACTTCGT